AAACAGTACGTGCTGGGCTGGGAGAGAATGGTGTGTTCATCCCAGTCCCTGCCTGCATGAAGCTCACAGACCAGGCAGAGAGGGCCCTCATTGTATGAAGGGCTGTGATAAGAGGTCAGGAGAAAAGGTAAGGGACGTATCAGATGTTTGGCTAAAGCCACCCTCAGAGGGACAAGAAGGAAGGACAGACACAGAGGTGGGAAAAAGGAGCAGACAAGGGCAGAAGGCAAGGAGGAAAGTGGAAACCCCTGGCAGAGCAGCCAGAGGTATGAAGCTTGTGGCTCAGTGGGACCATGGAGCGGGGCAGAGGCGAGATCATGGAGGCCTCGGGAACAGGTGAGATAGAAGCTCAGAACTTTATCCTAAGGGTAGCGAGGTACCATAGAAGAATCCCAGTCCCTGGAGGTAGGCCCAAGCTCCACACTAGTGCGGGACTTAGAGACATAGAGAGGAATACAAAAGCTCAGTCCCCAGCTTCCAGCAGTTCATGCACGGGCACATCACAGGGACTGTGCTGGGTAGCACAACCAAGACTACATGGCAGGTACCCACGGCACACAGAGGCTAAGATTTGGGGAGGGCGGGAATTTAGTTCCTGGGTGTCCACTCCATATTGGGCCTGAGCATCTAACACCTGGCTCCTTGTTCAGTATTCAGGGTGACCTATAGGGCATCTGTTTCCACCCTACTTGTACAGATGAAAAGACCAAGGTTCACAGAGGTTGACCTCACAGAGTGCTATGGTCAGGGAGGGAAGGTACCAGGGCAGGAGTTCAGCCAGTGGCCTTTCTGCTACCCCATGTAACTTTCTCTAAGTGTGAACCAAAGGCTGTGGGGGAAGCTTCGTGGAGCAGGGAAGGGCTGCAGCTGGGATGTTCCTCTGTGTCCCAAGTCATCTCTCAGACTGTGCAGTGCAGGCTAAGAGGCTGGCCTTCAGGCATTTGTCGGGTAACTGGGGTCTCTTGAGTTTATCCATTGGAACTGTGAGTTGAGTCTCATGCTTGCTCCATGAGGGGACAGCAGCAGTTCAGAAAATAGTACCAATGAGGGAAAGATATAATCCTAGTCCTTTCCAAATTTAGGGATGCTGTGCTGTCTGCATACCAGTACTAGGGGACAGAGTCTGCCTTGGGAAACTAACCAGAGTCAGGAATTGCACAGAGCGTGGATGTTGTGATTTGATTTAGAACTGGATAACTGATGTAGGGCAGGGACCAAGCTGTGCGAGGTGTTGGGTGAGGCAGGCCTGCCAAGCTCAGAACAAGTGTCATACCCTCTCGAGTGCCACAGATGACTCAGAGACCCCTGAAGCCCAGACCTAAATGGCTCTCTCAGCAAGCCCACTGTAGAACTGATATACCTGGTTATATTGACCAAGTCTAGTTCATTCATGCACGCTCAATAACTTGTGAAATTTGGATATTGGAAACCAGTTTCTGCCTAATGGACACTAATGACTAAAGCCTAAAGCACAATCGAGAAAGCAGGAAAAGCCAATGCCAGAGAGTTTATGGATTTTCTGAGAATCTTTATTTTATATACTTGGTATATACTTGGTAGTGGCTGGCTGAGAAAGGCGTACAAGGAAAGAGGGGTTCCTGCCCCTGAGAATTCCGGAGATCTGCTATTCACGGTCCACCCTTGATGATGGTACAAGTGGACTTTTCCTTCTGCCCATTTCTTGTCACTCTTCTCCACCCTGCTGCCACCCCCTCCTGTTCCCTCCTGCTCCAGCCCCAGTGTGTACCTCCCTCAGTTGCCTTTGGGATGACACCTGGAGCTTCTGGAGTTGCTGCCACACCTCCCCACACCAGAGGCTGAACTCTGCCTCTGGACTCACTTCACCCAGCACAGCTAACCCATCCTTCCTTCCATAGAGATCTTCAGAAAAGACCTTGAAACTCCCTTTCCCGGGCCACTGCCCTCCTACCGCAGCATGCATCACAGCGAGGATGCTTTGTTGTTCCTCTCTGAAGTCTCACTCAGCACAGGGCCTCCCTCTTCCTCTGGCCCTGTAACCCTGGAGAAGGAGAACAGATAGTCCTGCCCCAGGCCAGCCGTCCTGCCACAGGCCACTAAGCCACTCCTGAGCCTTTCCCGTCTCAAGGGTCAACATGATATCCTGCAGCTGCAAGTCCTGCTTCTGGGAATCTCTTGGGTTTTCTGTCACCCTGCTTCCTCTTTCCAAGGTTTCTGAGACCTGAAATACTCAGCTCACTCCCAGAGAAGAAACACCAGACAGGCAGAGCTGGTGTGCTGAAAAACAGGATGGCTTCTGCTCTGTGCTGTCCGATTCCGAATTCAATCTAGAAAGACAGATCCCCTGCCCGTGGTATTCACTCTTCCCCAATCCACAGCTCTTCCTCCACCAGCTTCGCCTATGGCATTCCTTTCTGGCTTCATTTTGGCTCAGTGGCTCTTCTTAATGTCTCTTGGTGGTTGACTTTGACCCTGGTTATGTCTTCTTGCTTGTCCTGTGTATGGATTTCCAGACCTTCCATCCTATGAGAGGCATCATGCTGAGATCTAGATCTGAATTCCAGCTTTGCCCTTTATAGGCTCTGGTCTTTCTGGATTCTGGCCAAGCCACCAATCATCTCTAGATCATCTCTAGATGATCTAGAAGAACTAGTTTCTTCTGCTGTAAAATCAGAATTGCAGCACCTACCTGTCGTAGGGTTCAGACAAGGGAATGGATACAAAGATGTTTTGTAAACCCTGAAGCAGCACTTCCCAAACTGCTCTGCAGAACTCTGCTTTCAGGAGAGTTGTTAGAAAACTACTGGGGGAGCTGAGAGGAGTTAATGTCCAGTTTGAGGAAGGCTGGCCGAAACAAAGTGGGCCTTGTTTCTGTACTCTACAACTTCTCAGGGACCTTAATTTGCCATGTGCGTGACAAGATAGAGTACAGATAATAGAACTTTGACTCAAAGCCACTTTTTTCATGGCCTGGTCATTAATATCTCTTAGGGCATTGGTTCTCACAGAGCATAGAGTATATTAATATTATTTCTCCTACAGAGAGTATCGCTAATCTTAGCAGGGTATGGTGAGGCACGCCTATAATCCTAACACTCTGAGAGGCTGAGGTGGAAAGATCTTAAGTTCAAACTCAACCTAGGCAACAGACCCTATCTCAAAAAAAAAAAAAAAAAAAAAAAAACA